ATGCTCGCACATACATGCACACACACACAGATGCTCGCACATACATGCACACACACATACACAAAATCAAAGTAAAATCAAAAAAAAAAATGCATATATAACACTTTTCTTCTGTCCTGCTTATGCCAGTCACTCAATTCCTGTGAAAAGATATGAAAGGTTATTCTACTGTTCTCCTTAAAGGTTACACTAATAAAACTAATAAAAAATATATGTATCAGTCAGGACCACGGTAGAAAGATATTTCCAGAAATCAGCATCAACAGATGCAAAAGATCAAGTCAGGCACAGCAGTTACAGATGCAACTGTGAGCAGTTTTATGCACCTCAATTCCAGCTGCCTGAGATTTATATTTGTAGAATTTGTATATTTGTATATCAGCACTGAGACCAGCTGAATTGCCTGGACTGTGGCTGAGCTTGACTTCATGGTCTTCATGGTTTGTTTTTATCAATGAGTTTTCTTTTCTTGTTCATAGCATCGCCACAGGTTCAGTCGCAGCAAATTCATAATCAACAAAGATGAGAAAGAAGTCCAGGAGATCTTCAAGAGAACCATGAAGAACCGAATGGAGTCAAAGACGGGCGTTTCACCAAAGACAGTCATCAAGCACACAAAGAAGGAACACCAGCAGAAGGTAAAGAGAAAGAGAGGGAATGAGTTTACCACAAAGAGCAAAGAGCTGATTATGTCTTTGTGAGGTTCAGTGAAGAAGAAGTGTCTTCTGCAAATACGGCCCTTTCAGATACATGAAACACTAGTAGACATGATACATTTGTGATGTCTAATTATATCCTCAATTCAGCTGGTTGTTGTTTGTAGTGTTGTAAACATGCTTGTTGCCATCAGGGAAGTTGCAGAGTGCCCTCTGCTAGACAAACTATGTAACAGCAACATTGGTAGCATAGTTGAAGGGTGTTGGTCTTGTCTCTTTTTTTACTTCACCTTCCATGTTTTTTGAAACATAGCGTGTGATCAAATGACTCTTCCTCCTCTTACAGATTCCAAAAGGAAAGTCGATAAGCCAGACTAAACTCTCCTATTCTGGTGATGAAGGTTTGTATGTCTGCTTTTGTTGTTGTTGTTGTTGTTGTTTTATAGATTTAAAATCTTAGTCAAAAAATTTTCTCATTTTCATTTTTAGATTTTGGGTTCTCAGAGGGAGATAGCGCCTCTGGCTATGACTCGTCATACCCTTCTTCCCCCATGAGAGATTCCAAACCAGGAGGTGAAATAATCCACTTTCTACATCCCGTATGAAAATGAGAGAAAACACATTTTTCAGAAATAATTAAGAGAGCAGAAAATGCTTTTACTATAAACACAAAGATTACAACATATAACAGAGGGAACTAAATAGACAGTACATATGCAATACATTTAAAAAAGGTGCAGTACATGTGTGAAAACAACGCATTATCATAGGATTATTATAGAATTGCCTAATTCTGTTCTCACTCTGCAAGCGAACACTTATAAAACATTTTGACAGTACTGAGTCGTGTTGAGTTTGATGTATGTACACAGACAAGAAGGACCAAGCACAATGAAAATCTGCAAACATAAAGAGTTATATAGACTTAGCATCCAGAGAACAGAGGTAATCTAATAAAATATGAAGTACTGCTCAGGTGCATTAATAAAAAGGAGCAGCCAATAACAGTGTCACTTGTATAAAAAAAAATAATGCAGAGAACAGCAATGTCTCCAATATTGAACCCTGAGGTACTAATTCAGTTTTTTTTTTCTTTCATCAAGGTGGGATTGACAACTCAGCCTTTGTGCCAGATTTGTACCCCACGGATTCATTGCCGATCCCTCCTTGGCTGGCAGAGGGTGAGCTCGACAGCAGCATGGTGGCTCCGTCACTGCGAGCCCAGGCGAGCCCGCCCACATCACCGATGGAAATGCGCCACCTGGGGCTTCTTCGTATCAGCACTCGCTCTACTGACACAAAGCAGATGAACAATGATCAATTGCCACTGCCACCAACACCTCCTCCTCCTCCACCTCCTAGTAGCCACATGTAACTGGATCCTAATCCCAACACCCTGTTCTGTCCCACTTGAACCTGGGACAAAGACATAAAACAAACCTCAGACTAATTAACCATCTACTCTCATATTGACAAGGAAATGTTTTCTTTTCCGTGGCTGTGTTTAGCTTCTGTGTTTCTACACAGAACACATACAGTTTCAAACCTCTGTGCTCTTCAAACAACCCCTGCTGTTTTTAGGTTCAGCCTTCACTTGATAAAGAAAAACTGCACTGAAACAAATCCTTCATGTTCAACATAAAAGATATGTTGAACACCCTCATATAATCTGTGGTTTGTAGAAAATCTGCCATTGAAAACCATTATTTAAGGATTTTTAAAAATATCTTAATATGATGCCAAAACTTTTCAAATGATGCGGATTTTCTGTATATAGCAATAATAACAACAGGGTTTAAATAGAGTGATTTAAAATAGTTTGTGAATCTATAATCCATAGATTCGTATTGCACAATACAACGAAAAGTTTCACCACCAGGGGGCACTATTTTCCCTGTCAATGTGAGACATACTATTACCAGCATATTAAAATCCTGCATAGGTCAATGATGCACATGGATGTTCACACCTGTACCCGTTTACCGATGATGAAATCTTCCATTCATCACGCAGGATCTTTGTAAGCTTTCGAGTAGGCGTAAGGATGGTTCCACAGTATGCGGCATCAACTTTCAGACATGGGTGGATCTACAAGGGGGCATGGGGTGGCATGTGTCACTCTAAAATAATCTCTTGCCATCCCTAGTGCCGCCCTAGTTTTGCATGTGATTGTTTTGTTTATATAAAAACAAATAAGCTAGCATTGACACTTTGAGCACAGCTAAATATAAACTGGATATGAATTCTAAAACTGAATTTATTGCATAGTGTTACCGCCAACCCCCACCCCACACACACACACTTCACCATTAAAAAAATGGTTCAGCCCATAGTGGGGCCCAGCTTTAATTCTTGTTGTCAGTAGCAATCAACCTATGATTGTGCCAGAGCACATTTTGAATGAACACCATGGACATTTCAGATTTCATCACAGGTGGTTGATTGTTACACTCTGGAATTGGAGTGAAGGTGAGTGTTATTAACCCTCTGGGATTATTGGTTGTTTTTTTTATTTTGTTGTTGTTAAATAAGAGGGGAGTTTGGGGAGTGATAGCAACGAGAGAAAGTGAGTTATGAGATGTGAGAGATTTGTGACGTTTAGCGTGTTTGGAGTGTGTAGTTAGTGCGTTGTCTTGTCTTGTGTAGTCAGTGTAGTGTAGTTGTTGTTTTGTGTGCTGTGTGTGGCTTCTTATTCAGACACCTGATTGCTCTGTAATTTTAATTTTAGTAGTATTTTTGAATGGTTGTACAAAAACACCTGAGGCATTGGCTGCATTTTTAGGTACAACTTTATTGTTTAAAAACATTTTACGTTTTAAAGTTTATATTTGCATTTCAAGTTATGAAAATAATTCACTAAAAATGTTTGTGGTTATTACATTAAAAATTATATAAGATTTTCCTACTAGGATTTTATGTTTGTTTTTTTGTGTGATTTCAGATCAACTGTGTTAATACAGTATGTCAATAAAAACAAATAACTCTAAATTTCAACATGTGAAATTGTGCTGAAAAGGACGATACCAAGCAAGGCTAATCTAGGTAAATATAAAGGTCAAATCAAAAGTAATCAAAAATGGACAATTAAATCGTGGGCCTTAGAGGGTTAACCAAGTAAAATATAAAAAATTAGGTTTAAATTTTAAAAGTGTGTTCATGAAAGTGCAGATTTCTGTCATTTTGTTTAAATTTAAGCATGTAACAATTTTAACATTTCTAATAAAAAAAAAAAGTTTGAAACTTAAGTTAGAATTGTGTTTGTAAATGAACCATCCCATTTTAAATAGCTTTCTGGATTTTGTACTTATTGGGCTACATACTTATTATATAAGCTATACAGTATATACAATCAAAATTCACGTTTTATTTCATCCACATGTTTAATTATGTGGGCTAAAGATAAGAAGAAAGTTGTAGACTATATTTATATGAAGCATGTATATACTTACTGCATTTGATGTATGTTAACCATATATGGATGTAGCACTTGCATATGTGCAAACAAGAAATATGGCTTTGATTTTGATTTCCACGTCAGCCTTAGAACATTTCTTTAGATCTAACTGTGATGCAAACACACTGCAGTGGGAACTATTTAAACATTTGCACAGATTCAATGTACTCATCTCAAGATTCATAGCACAGTTCAGATTCTTAGCATAGCGGTGCCGCTTTTTAAAAAATCTTTTTAGGATTTTGGGGGGTTTCTGTGGTTTTATTTGGGGGGTGGGGGAGACTTTAGAACCTGAAGTAAATGCTCTTGACACACTCACATGCGCTTCTGGACAGAGACCTCAGATGTTGTTCCTGGGTAAGTATCAGAGTAAGAATCTGGTTAGTTACCATATTTCTAGGAATTTTAGGGCCAAGTACAACAATCTCAGTTTGATCTGAATTTAGAAGCAGAAAGTTGGAGGTACATCCAGGTCTTCATGTCTTTAAGACATTCCTGCAGTTTAACTAATTGGCGTGCTATATCTGACTTCATGGATAGATTTGGTAGAAAGTTGGGTGTCATCTGCATAGCAGTGAAAATGTATGTTATGCCTTCTAATGATACTGCTTAAGGGAAGCATCTATAATATAAACAGAATTGGTCCTAGCACTGAAGCCTGTGAAACTCCATAATTAACCTTAGTGTGTGAAGAGAACTCTTCATTTACATGAACAAATTGGAGTCTGTTAGATGGATATGATACAAACCACTGCAGCGCAGTACCTGTAATACCTACAGGATTGATTTAATCGTTCTAATAGAATATTATGGTCGACAGTATCGAACGCTGCACTGAGGTCTAGCAAGACAAGCACAGAGATGAGTCCA